CAAGGGAGTCACGGAGAGAGTGGTCCCTCCGGAAAGCAGATAAGGGTGGGGAGGGAAAGATGTCTTTGGTGGTGGGGTCGGATTGCAGATGGCGGAAGTGTCGGAGGATGATGCGTTGGATCCGGAGGTTGGTGGGGTGGTACGTGAGGACGAGGGGGATTCTTTTTTGGTTCTTATTGCGTGGACGGGGTGTGAGGGATGAGTTGCGGGAGATGTGGGAGACACGGTTGAGGGCGTTCTCGACCACTGAGGGGGGGAAGTTCCAGTCCTTGAAAAACGAGGACAACTGAGATGTACGGGAGTGGAATGCCTTACCCTGGGAGCAGATGCGGCGGAGGCGAAGGAATTGGGAATAGGGGATAGCACTTTTGCAGGAAGGTGGGTGGGAGGAGGAGTATTCTCAGTAGCTGTGGGAGTCGGTGGGCTTGAAATGAATATCGGTTTCTAGGTGGTTGCCCGATATGGAGACCGAGAGGTCCAGGAAGGGGAGAGAGGTGTTAGAGATGGTCCAGGTATTTGAATCCTTGGGTCTGGGACATTAGTCTGAGCCTCTGGATTATTAACACAGTGACCTTACCACCACCTCCGCTATTGACAGTCTTGCTTCTGTCTGCATCGTTTCACAGTGTCATGCAGTTGGCAGGTCTCTTCCTACAGTGAAACGAAAACCCACCAACTCCTTCAGCAAAAGCCACAGCAGTTTGTCCGCATGAACCAACAGCAGCTCTCTCGCATCTACCCATCCTCCTACAGAGTGGATTCCAGTAACTTCAATCCTCAACCCTTCTGGAATGCTGGCTGCCAGTTAGGTATGGAAATAAAACAAACCCCCAACCTAACTCCCTGATAATTGTATCTTGTCCCAGTAGTCAGCTCCAGCCATGCATTGTGGTGGCACACTGGGGCAGCACGGTGGCTCAGTGGTTAGCACTGCTGCCTCACAGCGCCAGGGACCTGGGTTCAATTCCACCCTGGGGTGACTGTCTGTGTGGAGTTTGCACATTCTCCCCATGTCTGCGTGGGTTTCCTCCCACAGTCCAAAGATGTGCAGGTTAGGTGGATTGGCCATGCTAAATTGCCCATAGTGTTCAGGGATATGTAGATTAGGTGGGTTATAGGATATGGGTCTGGGTGGGATGTTCTGAGGGTCAGTGTGGACTTATTGGGCCGAAGGGCCTGTTTCTACATTGTAGGGATTCTATGATCTATTGTGAAATGTCTATCCAGGGAGAGGCATTAGACTTGATCACCACAACGTGGCAGGGAGGGAAATTCCGATGTGCTGTTCTGTGAATCTTGGGGATGGTGGGATTCGGTCTCTGAACAGAAGCAGACATTCACACAAGATGGAGTTAAGATACAGGCCAACCGTGTTCGAAATAAATGTCAGAGCAGGTTCAAGGCTGGCTTTCTAAAGGAAGCTCTGGTCCCCTGCTACAGCAGAAGTCCGTCCGTGCCGGGTAATAACGTCCCTGCAGTTGTTCTGCCTCATGTCTCAGCAGCTGATTAAAAGCTGTGGGTTGATGAAAGAAAAGGAACTGTCAGGTCACTGCTTTTAGCATACCTGTCACACAGGGTTGTAGATTGCAACCTGTCTGAAAGAATTCAATGGGGTGGAAAGGTATGCATTCCCACTTAATGGACATAGGGAATACTCCTGCCTTCTGGGGGGAAGGGAGCTAGTTAAGTGGTTACTTCAATAAAATGGGCAATGACCATTTAAACTTATAAGCTCATGTATTTCTTACAAACATAATTTGTTTTGGAAATCATCTCATTATGAATGTGATTGATGCAAATATATTATTGTTAATAAAACAGCCATCATCTGTTTCCATGCTACAGAGAGAGAACCACTTCACTCCCTCACATGAATATTTCTTTCACTGTGGCTTCATGACACTATACCACAGGCTGTGAGTGGGGTGTTAATGAGCCCTAGTTTTTACAGAATGATCCTCCCATTGCAATTCAGTCCTGGTCAGTATAAAACTGCCATTGCCTTATTCTTCACAAACACTTATCTGAAGTATGTCATTAATGTGTCAGAATGATGGAGTGCTGCAATATATTATTACATCTTTTAATAGATTGTAATGTTCCCTCTTCTTGCATCATCCAGTTGGAAATCTAAGCTGTCTCCTATGAGAATTGGTAATGCCATTAAGTTTTTTCTGCCTCCCTACAAAAGCAAACCCATTTCTGTTGCCATCAATACCGTGATTACTTTGTTAGCCGTTGCAAAGCATTGTGTGCAATGCTGCAGCTCTCACACTCTTTGTCTCTCTTCATCTTCCTACAGTTGCACTTAACTACCAAACTGAAGGAAGAGTTCTACAACTAAACAGGGCCAAGTTTAATTCCAATGGAAACTGTGGATATGTCCTTAAACCCAAGTGTATGACTCAAGGTACGGAAGAGCAAAGCTGTACAAGTTACTTCCTTTTGGCAAAAGGGCAAGAGTTACAGTTAAGATTAGGAAGCCGGATCTAGCAGAATGGCACCAAATTCCAAGGTTTCTGAAACATGGATTTGAATCCAGATGAGATCTGGTTAATCTGGCAGGTGGACTAGACTTCAGCAGAAACAAAGATATTCTTATCTTTTCATTCTGGATTTGATTGGACCACACATTGAAGGGTTTGTATGTCTCTTTGATTAAGTCATTGGGTGCAACAGTGCGACAGACATCCTGACATATGTGGTACCTCAGTTCAAATCCAGTCCCAACAGAAAGCATGTCAATCTTGAAACTCTGCTGACTGCTAAGGATCAAACCTGACTGATCTCAATCCAGTTACAAGCTCGAGCAAATTTTTAGCACAAAATTGCTTTACAGTTAGACACCATCTGTAACTTGCAATACAAGATATTCAGCGCACAACAGATAATCTGCCAAAGACCACAATCCAGCTCAACAACTCTCCTGCAAATACAAAATGATTTTGTTTTCAGATTTTGCAGATCATCCAGCCCAACATGCTCGTGCTAGTTTGTGCTCCCACTCTTTACTCATTGCGTCTTGTCGGCAAATCTTCGTTTCCTGTCTGCCTCATGCCCTGTATTTATTACTTTCCTCCTTAAATGCACCTTGACTATTCACATTAACAATTTACTGTGGTGGCAGGTTCCACATTCTAACCACTCTATTGATAAAGATATTTCTGCTAACTTCCTTATTTATTGTTTATTATTGATTATCTTGTATTTATGATTCCCAGTTTTGGCTTCCCTGACAACACATCTTCTCTACATCTTAAGTAGCCTTGTCACTATTGTCTAGCAAAGCCAGAACAAAGCATGATGCCTATGAACAATTCTTTAAATCTAATGGCATTGGTCATAGCCATAATGCAGAATTCTCTTTAGACAATTTAAACCCATCACCTCCAGCAATTGCATTCATTTAAATTATTGGCCGTCACCAAGATATAAATATTCACAGGAAATTTCCACACCTATGTTGGACGTCAATGCTGCTATGTAGAACATTTGTCAAGCCTTTGCCAACTGGCCCCGGTTAGTACTCTGGGGTCTGGTACGGAGGAGGTCAGATGTCCAAACTTGGAACAGTGCTCCCTCCTGCATCAATCTGCTGTTTTACCAGCTGTCCATATGGTCTGTCCCTCTCAGATTGACAATTCAGTGCCAAATTTTGGACAGCTTTGTGCTGTCAAACAGCAATTGCCCCCAAACAGAAAAAAATGAAGAGAATAAAATTGACTGTTATGTCACCGGTCTGTTTTGAGTTTAACCACGCATTTTAAAGATCAAAAGGTGTGTTTTTCTCTGACATGTAGCTCTCTCATTTTCAGTTTGTGTCCAATGTACTCTGCCTCACTCTGAAACCTTGCCAATATATCCCTTCACCCCATTCCTTGCCTAATTTATCTCCTTTTATTCTTATTCTTAGAAACTAGTTTTCCTTTCATTGAGTTATGCTCAACTTTATTGGACGTCATGTTCTTGTCTACCCATCGTCTTGATGCTCACGAATTTACACAATGCCTCGACTTAAAGGTTGTCACCCTAGTTTTCAAATCCCTCCATGGCCTAATCTCGTCAAAGTCTGAACCCTTTTCGGTCTTAACAATCATCTGAGATCTCTGTACTCCTCCAATTCTGACCATTCCTGATTTTAATTGCTCTACCATTAGAAGCCATGCCTTTGGTTATCAAAGCCCTAATTGTTGTAATTTTCTCCCCAAACCTCTCTGCTTCCCATTCTGTCATTTTTTAGGTGCTCTTTAAAATCTACTCCTTCGAATGTGTTTTTGTTGATCTCGGTTCATGTGGCAGGGTGTTAAATTTTGACTGATAACATTCCTGTAAAATGTTTTGGATTGTTTTACCTTGTTAGTGATGCTACATAATGCGAATTGTTCAATGGGGCTGTGGGCAAGGTGCGAAGAATTGTCATGAGGACTTGTCACATTTTACAGTCTGTCCTTATTGAAATATTGCCTTACTGCAGGTAACTTTAACCCAACAGCAGAAGACTTGCTGTCTGGACAACCAAAGAAACAGCTCGTATTGAGGATCATCAGCGGCCAACAGCTTCCAAAACCCAAAGACTCCATGCTGGGTGACAGGGGAGAGGTAAAACTCATTCTTGGTTTCATCAGAAGATAATGGCAGAGGAGCTGAATAAATACTTTGTACCAGTCTTCACAGTGGAAGACTTTAATACCATTCTAAAAATACTAGACAATCGAGGAGAAAGAGAAGGAGAACATGAATATATTATTAGAGAAAAAATGCTAAGGAAACTAACTGGTCTAAAAGCCAAGAAGTCCCCTCGACCCGATGGGTCATATCCTGGGATATTAAAGAAAGTTGCTACAGAGATAGTGGATGCATTGCTGATAATCTTCCATGAATCCTTAGATTCAGCAGAAGTAGCAAAGGATTAGAAACTGCCAATGCAATATACTCATTCAAAATGGGGAGGAGATAAAATAAGGTAACTAAAGGCCAGTTAACTTAATACCTGTCATTGGGAAAATGGTAGAATCTATTACAAAGGATGGAATAGCAAAGCATTGAGATATGTGTAATTAACCAAGCAGAGTCATCATCACTTCACCGATGAGATATCGTGCCTGACAAATTTCTCAGAATCCTTTGAAGAGGTAACAAGCAGCATAGATAAAGGGGAAGCAGTGCATGTAAACTATTTGGAATTTCAGAAGGCATTTGACAATTTACCGCTCGTTAGGCTAGTTAGTAAGAGCCCTAGTTGTTGGAGGTAGTGCATTAACATGGATGGAGGATTGACTAACTGATATAAGATAGACAGTTATGACAAGGTGGGCATTTTTTAGGATGGCGATCTATAACGTGTGGAGTGCCACAAGTATCAGTGCTGGGGCCATAGTTATTTACGATATATATTAATGACTTGGATGATGGAAGTGAATGTACTATCACCAAGTTTGCGAATGACACAAAAATAAGTGGGAAGGCAAGTAGTTGAGATGAAACAAACAGTCTTCAGAGGGATATGGAAAGGTTGAGTGAGTTGGTAAAAACTTGGCAGAGATTTGAGGTTCTGCACTTTGGCATGAAGAATGGAAGGGCTGAATATTTTTTTAAATAGAGAAAGACTGCAGAAAGCTGCAACACAGAGGGAATCGGGAGTTCCCATGCATAAAATATAAAAAGCTAGCATACAAGTTCAGGGTGAAATCAGGAAGGCAAATGACATGTTGTCTTTTACTGCAAAGGGAATGGAGTATAAAAATAAGGAGGTCTTACTAAAACTATGCAAGGCACTAATTAGGCAATGCCTAGGATATTGTGAACAGTATACAAAATACATAAAATATGAGTAAAAGTAGCCATGAAGTAAAAGTAACCTACTATCAATTTAGGGAAGGACACCTACTGTCCTACCCTGTTTTGGTCTTTTTGTGACTCCAGTTCCGCACTAACATAGTTGTTTCTTAACTGCCCTCTGAAATGGCCCATTATCTACTTAGTTAAGGCCATTCAGGGAAAGACAATAAATATTGTTCTTCAGTGAGACCCACAGCACAAGAAGGAATTAAAAGAAAGAAGGGTCACCAGGATGAGTCATTGGCGAACTCCTCATCCCTCAGGAGTGTGTCAGAACTCTAAGGAGTTGCAGGGAGGGAGAAAGTGGAGGGACATAAATAGGAAGCACCCTCCTTGTAAACAAAATAACATATGGGTGGCACCAACTTAGTGAGATGCACAGTGGTGCCAATATAGAGAGGTTGGCACTGAGGGAACAGCAACACTTGCCAAGAGTGTTAATTATGTCTCTAGCTGGTAAAATAAAACAAATTTATTCATATGAAAGGGAGCTGGATATACCCACCATGTTTCTAAGATGTAAAGTTTAACTTTCATAGGAATAAACATAAGAAATAGGAGCAGGAATACACAGTTTGGCCCCTCAAGCATGTTCCACCATTCAGCTATACATGTCATATTTTTCTATTTCAATACCATTTTCCAACACTATTCCCATATCTCTTGCTATCTCTAGAACCAGCTTAATGTTATTGGTTCGGGCCAAAGTGGTCTGAGGGCTTATTATGGACAGGGGAAGTATTATGATGAAGTGTTTAATGCACACAAGGTGTATAATGGGAGGGAGCATAGAATGGATAGGCTTATTATAATGGACAGGGGCTGTATGTTGAGTGGATGGTGTATATTGGACAGTGGTTGTATAACAGACTAAGGGAGTACAACGGATGGAGTCTGCAATGGATAGGGTGTATACAATGTGTGGAAGTGTATCATGCAAAGTGGTGTATAATGGACAGGGGTGAATAATGCAAGGGATGACTTACGGACATGCTAAACTGCCAGCTCTAAGTTTAATCCACACTTTCCTATTTCTGTCATTTCTGTAGATCATTGACCCTTTTGTGGAGGTTGAAATAATTGGCCTGGCTGTTGACTGCTTTAAGGAGCAGACCAGAGTCGTAGACGACAACGGTAAGAGAACCACTTGTGGCCTTTACAGAGATCTGCCACCCCCTGGACACTCCACAGTGGCACAGAGGATAGGGCCAGCATTGGTGCGAACAGTCAATAGGGGTGTTGAGATTGTTGCAAGCTGCAGGCTGAGCGTCATAATGCCACTAACACTGCATTTGTGAATTCTGATTTCTCTGAAGCTCGGCTGACTTTGGTAGTGCTAATTTGTAACTAAGTCATTAGAAGCAGGAAGATCCCAGGCTACACAGAGAGGGGGGAGTTTGGCACTCGATTTGTGTTTGCCCAATGACAATGGTAGGACTTCCACACTTCTATAGCCATAGTTGGCTTTCAGTAAATATTGCCAATCTTGGTGCTCATGTGAAAATTTTGTTTCAAATTCATCTGTTAATTCTCACTGTTAATGCCTCTTAGTATTTTTTTTTCAAGTACATTCATCAATTTTAAGAGAGCTGAGGTTGGGGCTGGGCTTGGGGAGTTAGTGTGGTTTTAATGTTGCTCAGAATCACTACCACTAGGGGGCATCAAGCACTAGCTTATTGGTCAGCAAAGGGAAATCCAGCTGGGACGCAATGAGGCTGACACCTCGCAACTCCTGGTGGCTTCTCAAACGGATATTCTGCTGGCGGGCATACAGCCTGTTGACGGCAGAGATAAGGACTCAAGCAGTCAATTCAATCACCCCTGCTCTGCCTGCGACTGAATCCACCTATCGCAAACTGAAGCTTCCCCAGGATTGATCCAATCTGTTTAATAATATAGATACCTGCCTTAAATGATCTTTATAAAGGTAAATGGCATCTGAATAAATCATTAAAGGAATTTCAAAATAGCGTGCAATATAACTAGGACTTACTTCTACAGAGAGTGTGAGTCAGAAATGGGTACTTATTTCCAACATTTCAGTTGGAGAACAGCTGAGAAGGATCCTGTGTCTGATTATATGGGAAGTTGTTGCAATCAGGTTAATAACTTTTTGATACCTTCCTGAATCTAATCAGAAAGAAAGAATTGCAGCTATATAGTGCCCCATCCCCCAAAGCATCTAATAACTTTTTTTTAATGTAATCTTTGTTGCAATGTCAGAACTCTGGCAAGCTCCCATAAAGTGTAATGCAATGGTGACCAGATAATCTGTATTTAATGATGTTGTTTTGAGAAAGAAATATTGGGCCACAGAAACCACATCTGTTCCCTTTAAATAGTGCCATGGGACCTTTTACATCTACCTAGAGGAACCATTATTTAATATGTTCTCCAAAAACACAGCACCCCTAACAATGCAGTAGTCCCTCAGTAATACACTGGGGTGATCAACCTTCAATCATGTGCTCTAATCTCTTGGGGTGGACACAAAAGACCTACTCGAACCACTGAGCTACATTTGAGCCTTAAGATCTCAAACTGTGCAGTTGTGGAGAATCCTGTCCTTTACTGATGGGTTGACTGGCAACTCACTTTTGTGCCTCTGATTGGGTGAAATTGTTATTATGTTGCAGGGTTTAATCCAATGTGGGAGGAAACACTGGTGTTCACTCTGAATATGCCCGAACTCGCTCTTGTCCGCTTCCTTGTCTGGGACCATGATCCAATTGGCCGGGATTTTATTGGTCAAAGAACTTTAGCATTCACCAGCATGATGCCTGGTAAGTGAGATTGCTGTGCAGCATCAGTTAACAGTGCCCAATTATTGTTTCTTGACATAGGGAAAGGGAAGTGCTGTTTGTTGTCAAAGGATTGTCAAATGAGTTAATTTTATTGGTGTTTCTGTTTTATATAGAAGGGCCTGCCTGCCCTGAGTTAGTGAAGGCCTTGAGGATAAGGAATATCACCCATTCCTATTGGAGGTGTGCATAGCAACAGCAACAACATTAATGCTCTTTGTTGCCTCACCTTGCAGAGTGCTTTTCATATGGGAAAAACAACTCAACAGAAGCATAATGAAAAGAGGGGAATTGAACCAAGGAAGGAAATAGCTGGAGGGATAACCAAAGGCTTGGTCAAGGACAGAGATCTTATGGAGGATCTTAAAGGAGGTACAAAGGGATTTAGAGAGGGAATTCCAGACCAAATGGCTAATGTCCGAAGGGCTTTAAGCATTGACATTAACAGAGCTGGAGGGTGAGGATTGGACATAACATCACAGGGGGACCACAGAGTCAAAGGAATAGAGAATTTATTTGGGGGAGGAATTATAGAGTTGGAAGTGTTTACAGAGATGGGGAGGGTCAAGTCCATGGAAGGATTTAAACACAGAGCCATAAATTTTAAATTGGAGTTGTTGGTGCATTGGCAACCAATATAGGTCGGTCATGACAGAGGTAATTGGGATTGGAGTCATACGTGGGATCTAGTGAAGGATGGAAGGTCATCCAAGAGATCATTGGAATTATTGAATTTGCAGGAAACAAAGACATGGGCAAGCTTTTTAGAAACAAATGGTTGAGACAGGGTTGAAGATGGGCAATATAATGGAACTGGAAGTAGGCAGTCTTTGTGATGGAGAACATATGGGTTTGAATTCAATTCAGCTTTGAATAAGTTGCAAATCGTTTCAAACCGTGACCAGGGAGGGGTGGTGGAGTCAGTTGCTCTGGAATAGAATTTGTGTCAGGAGACTCAAAAGCAATGTCTTCAGTCTTCCCAATGTTCAGCTGCAGGTAGTTGTAGACTTAAACTGAAAGCTTTAATCCCAGATCTTGCAATGTTGAGTCTTGAACCTGTGGTGGGGTAGACAGAAACACTGCTCACATTCCTTGTACACCATACTAAGAAGACAAAGGGGCAAGAATGTTAACCCTATTTCCTTCTCTGGTTTCAGGTTATCGGCATGTGTATCTGGAAGGAATGGAGGAGGCTTCTATCTTTGTTCATGTAGCTGTCAATGACATCAGTGGTAAGGTGAGTGCATCTCATTGGAGATGTTAAAAGTTTTAAAGCCATCCCCTCTTTGCTTTGTAGACATGACTTTGTACTTGTGCTCGATGTTCAATCTGTCCCTCTTTGTGACTCAGGTGCTGATCGTCCACAGTTTGATTTTCTATCACAGTGACATTTTAGTAACTCCATATGTGCACCCCTTATCGTTCTTTCCTTTAACTGAATGGTATCCAAGTAGATGGAACGAAATCTATTTCAATGAAAAGATGGAGAGGGAGAGACAGGGAAGGACCTAATGAGGCATAATCCACTTCAAGACTTGGGAAGAAAACAGAGAACCATGCCAGCTGTAACTCAGTCATTGTGCCAATTTCATTGTTTTTCTCTGTTCGGTTAACTAAATTGGCAAAATGGTTTCAGCTATGTTCCAGTGTAGAAGGAAATGCTAATTATATTGCACATTATTCTGAAATTTCTTTAATGATTTATTCAGGTGCTATTTACCTTTAAAGATTTCTGTATTATTTAAACAAATAGGACCAATCCTGAGGTGACTCCAATTTGCTGAGGGTGGATTCAATAGCTGGGCATTGGATGAATTGTCCTTTGGTTGGTTGTCCCACTCTTATGTTCGAGAAATTATTTGGTTGGTTTTTCCATCTGCTGTAGACTGATCGAAGACTGTTCTGGAGGGGAGTGGGTCACCAGAAACGCTCTGTTTTAGAAATGACTTGTTTGGCCAGGTCTACGTTGTGGAGGAGTCCTAGCTGACGGCACCACTGCATACTAGATAAATCCTCTCACAATCACAGCTATGGATTAGATTTGAAAGGAAAATGTAGATCATGCATAAGCACAAAGACTCTTGGCAGCTTTCCTTCAGTGTTTTTTTTGAAAGTGCATTCGAGGTCTATAAACTGAACAAACGACCAGGATGGTGCTTGTCTAATGCAACGAGCTGCTGCTTTACCAGCAGAAGTGTGAAATTATACCCAGCCACCTCCTCCTGATGCTGTAATCTTTGGCTGCATCAGACCCCACAAGGCTGGAAGACAACCAACTACACAAATACACTTGTATGATTACTGAAAATTCAGTAAAATAGGAGAGGTGTTGAATATGGCTCGTTAAATATGGCATTGCATTTCTCTGCTAAAAATGCCGCCCTTTCCAATAAAAATCAGGAAACAGAGTGTTGGTCTATTTTAATTAAGAGACATCTGCGCTAAAGGAGGCAAGAAATAAGGCGATGATTAAAATCAGTCTCATTCACTTGGTTCTGTCAAAGCAAAATGCTTACAGACAAGACATCTGGCAATACTGCAAGTGACAGAAGGAATAGATATAATCAGTTGTAGGTAATATTTTTGAGACAAATGGAAATTGTTTTTTTGATGGTGTGCTCCAAGATTAGAATGCAGCTTTAGTTCTTCCTTTCTCAGAGATGTTCTTGTATGCTGCTTTGCTTTGTATCCTGCCAGTGAATGCTTAAGTCAAATCTGTATCAGATTGTCAGTGCCTGAGCAGAATTGAAAATCGGTGTTTTTTAAGACTAGGGAACAATGTCAGAGCACATCAAATTGAATAACAAGTTTGTTAACAACCCGTTCCATAAGCAAAGATGACAAACCTATGATTGTTTTTTAGCATGTGCCATACACATTGTTAACATGTAAAGACAAGAAACAATTTTATTTCATTACCTCTTCAGTTTTCTCAACTATTCCCCTCATCATTTCTATTTCTTCCCCCCATTTGCTTTTGTCTTCATTGTTGGGATGTGGATATCACTGGTGAGGCCAGCATTTAATTCCAGTCCTTAGTTGCCTTTGACATGGTAGTGCACCCTGCTGCCTGTGTGGTAAAGATGTTCTCATGATGCTGTGAGATAGAGTTTCAGGATTTTAACCCCATAACAACGAAGCAATGACCAATATGTTTCTAAGCTGGGAATTTGTGTGACCAATAGGGGAGCTTGGAGGTTCCCATGCAAGTGCAGCCCTTGCCCTTTTGGACAATGGTGGTGGCAGGAATGGGATATATTACTGAAGCTACTTGACAAGCTGCTCTAGTGTATTCTGTAGATGGTACAGAGTGTGGCAACAGTGCACCAGAGGTGGAAGGAGCGGATAGTTAGATTGTGGATGAGATAACTATTAAGTGGATAGCTTTGACCTGTTTTGCAGCTGGAAATGTCCAGGTATTGAATGTTAGATATTTGGGATTATATGACTCTCCTGCTAGAAAAGAGTAGGCTGAGGGGTGAACTGATGAAGATCTTTAAAAATTATAAACGCGATTGGTAGGATAAGTGAAGATTTTCAACTTTTCCAAAACAAGGGGTCACCAATTTTGTATTGTATAGCTGGACTAGTTATTTAAATAATGTAACTATAAGAGCAAGCCAGATACTGGGAATTCTGCTGGAAAAGCTCAGCAGGTCTGGCAGCATCTGTGGAGAGAAATCAGAGTTAACGTTTCGGGTTCAGTGACCCTTCTTTGGAACAGTTCTGACATTAACAGACATTAACTCTTCTTTCTCTCAACAGATGCTGCCAAACCTGCTGAGTTTTTCTCGCAATTTTGTTTTTGCTTCTGATTTACAGCAAATGCAGTTATTTCTTTTTTTTAACTGGGAAATCTGCAATGAGTAACTCACCTCCCGACTCTCCAAAGCTTGTGCACCTTATACAGAGCGTAAATCAGGAGTGAGAGGTAATACTCCCCACCTGCGTGGATGAGTGCAGCTGTAACAACATTCAATAAAGCTTGACACTATCCAGGACAGACTCAACTCCCATTCACCACCATAAACATTCACTCTGCTAACCACAGTTGCACAGTGGCAACTGCACGTACTATCTACAAGGTACACTTCAGTAACTCATCAAGGCTCCTTTGACAGCACCTTCCAAATCCCCAATCTCTACTATCTGAAGGGATAAGGGAAGCAAAAACACATGAAAATGACACTACCTGCTAGATCCATCCAGCCCGCACCAATCCTGATGTGAACCTGCATCACCATCCCCTAACTGGCATTGAACCAAAAACCTGGAATTCTCTCCCTAACAGCGTTTTGAGTATGCCTCACCAAATAGACTGCAACAATTCGAGAAAGTTGCTTATCACGCCTTCTCGAGGGAAATTACTGCTCTACAACATATGCTGGCCAATTCAGAGATAATCACATTCCATGAGTGAAGAAAAAAAGTCACAAATCTAACAGGAAATTCAAGAAAAACGTATTTATGCAGATATGTTTTTTATCCACCAATGGGATGCGGGCATGGTCTGCTAGGCCAGCATTTGTTACCCATCCCGAATTGCCAAGAAGAAGATGAAGGTGAGCCACTTAGTTCAAACACTAGAGTCAGGGATTGGGGATGAGTATTAGAAAAGGAATGGTATTAGGAAGGGGAGTTCCAGGGTTTGACCCAGCCACAGTGAAGGAATGGTGATATTGTCCCAAGTCAACACTGGTGCAAATACAGAACTCATTATCACAGGAAGCAGTTGAAGTGAATAGTATAGACACATTTAAAGGTGAGAAAGGAATAGAAGAAAATGCTGATGAGGTTTGATGAAGTATGGTGGAGGAGGCTTATATGGAATGTAAACAGTGGTAAGGACTAGTTGAGTCGAATAACCTGTTTCTATCCTGTAAATTTTATGGAACCCTATGCAGTACAGGTTGACTTCTTGAGCTCAATCAACATCAGAGGTTTTTCTCTCTCGCCACTTTGATTAGTTGGGCAAAATGTATGCATCAATTTTCTTGATGTAACTAGATAATTGCCATGGTCAAAAAGAACATCTTGTCTTTGATGCTGGATGGCAAAAGCCTATTCATGCGTAAGGCAGCCTCTAAATCACAGATGCACATTATCACAGGAACATCACAGATCTATTTACTGTCAGGTAAGGATTGTCAAAAGACATTAAACATCTTGGATTTTTGTATTATTGTATTTATCTTAGACATGCTGATACAAAGGAGTATGTTGGTAGACTAGAACTGTGGGTAGGTAGAACACTGTGTACATTCATTTATTGCAAACATATTTGAAGGTACATTGTCAGAGACTTTTTGATTTATAATTAAATCAGATTGCTCCTTTATGGACATCTCAAAGAGGTTTTCAGTGGAAGGCAGTGTAAATGAATCTAATTCTGTCAGTTGAGCTTCTCATCACTCCCTTCTTTTAGGCTTCCATCCCACTTCTATTTATAAGTAATGTTTTTTTTTACTTTCTGTAATCCTATCTTAGACTAAATTGTTGTCTATTGTTGTACACATTGGGTGATGTCCTTTTTTTTGTGTGCTATCAAATTTGGGTATGTTCCAATTATATTCTTGATCGTTTTCAACTCTACTGGTCCTGCAGAAGTAGCCTCAAAGGCTTCTCATTTGTGGGGAGTTTACTTGGACATGAAAAAGAATATAGAAAACTTGTTTGGAATGGAGGAAGGTGCTTAGGTACCATATGCAAATACCTAGTATCTTCCCTGGTGCAAACTCCATGCTGGCTCTGTCAATAGATTGGTTCCAGTGGTGTCACTGGCCCTTGACTAAGAGTGATTTGTGAGTTCAGGTCCCACTCCAAAGACTTGAGCACATGATCAAAGTTAACAATCCCAGTGCAACATTGACGGGTCACTGCAGAGCCACGTGTGCTGCCCTTCATGGAGAGAGGTGAAGCCAAGGGCCCATCTGCCTATTTGGTGATTCAGATGTGTGCCAAAGACTAAACTTTTGTAAAACTTTGGGAAGTACTCCTAGGCAGCGATCCTCTTCCCCAACACCCTTCCCTCACCAATTAAGACCACTGACTAAAGATTAAGTGGCCATTTATTTCGTTGATGTTTGTCAGTTCATGCTCTATCCAATCTGGCTGCTGAGTTTGTCTACATAATGACAGTGATTGACTATAAAGTAATCCAATGTGCATGAAGCATTTCAAGACATTTCTGAGAGACGTATAAAGGGGCTCTACAATACAAATTTATTTTTCTGTTCC